ATGTCTTGTGATGGAAAATAGGATGTGTGTACGAGACAACAACAACATGAGTCATTACTAAATATGGTAACAAAAGATGTATCAATGCATGATGTCTGTATTGCCTGATGTGTACCACCCCTGTGTGTGTGTGTTAATGAAACGAGCCTGAGTTTGTGGAGAATTCAGAATTCAGCAGTCGATCCTCCCTGTGCACAGGTGAACTCGAGCAACGATTTTTGTCTTTTCTTTATACTTTGTAAAAGTTATTTTACGTGAGGGTTAAAGGTTGATAAACGAATCCGGGGTGGTAAAACCTTACCACGACAATAGCGAAAGGTTCGTTCACAGCGAAAGATTAGTTCACGGCGAAAGATTAGTTCACGTCGAAAGATTAGTTCACGGCGAAAGATTGGTTCACAGCGAAAGATTAGTTCATGGCGAAAGATTAGTTCACAGAGAGTGATTCTTTTGCAATGAAACATTAGTTCACAGTGAAAGATTAGTTCATAGAGAGTGATTCGTTTGCAATGATAGATGCGTTCAAAGTGAAAGATTTGTGAGTGATTCGTGAGTTCAATATGAACAAATATTTAATATGACTAGGTAGTCACGAATCTTTCATATGACTCGTGACTTCCGTTCATTTTGAACGAATCACTCGCGAACGACAAATCACTAGCCCAGTATGATTCCCTACATGTCAGAAGAAGGACAATTCAGTTTAAAGAAGGTATGGCTTTTTTGTTTAACAAAATGGTTTGCATCATAAGGCGCACCGCATTATAAGGCGCACTAAACTAAACAAACCAGTCAGCAAAACAATTAAGCGGAACAATCAAGCATGTCCGGATCCCTCTCATCAATATCGGAGTCAGGCTCGTTGCTGTTACTTAACTGTTCAGTGATGATTCCAGCCTTCGTGAAAGCTCGGATGACATTTGAGACTGATACCCACGCAGCTCGCAATTTAACTTTGACACAATTTTTGTTCTGGATGGTCACCGTATTGTTGTTTTGACGCTGTTCCGTGCGGATGTTATTTTGCAGAGAGAGTGTGTGTTTTGCCTGTATCGATAAAAAAAGGAGAAATAAAAAGAGGTCTTGACCACGAAGAAAATCGACAGCTATGCGTCTGAGTCGTCCTGCATCGACAATACAAAAACACAACTTAGAATCTTCGGGTGTTTGGAGTCACGACGCGACGTTGCACGGTTACACAACCATACTGTAACAATTGTTGTTGAACATCTTCTAATTGTGATAACAGAGTTAAACGTCATTGTTGACTCCCAGTGTTCTTCAGTTGTGTGCCATCATGTGTGATGCGCTGTGTGGTTTGGTTTTATAAAATCGGTTAAGTAAGCACAACCACAAGTACTACATATAGACCATAAGGTGAACCACGAAAAGTCCTTTAGAAATTGAATTCCGCTCCGACGTCTGGGAACTACACGATCTCGTACAGCAAAAAGTTCGTTGCAAAATATCCTGCCCGTTTTTTATATCGATGCATTTTATAAATAACTAGCGTCTTCAAAAAAATACAATTTTGGTACGCGAGCGGTGGCACGGTTCGACACGTGATCGTGTTAGACCAATCGAGTAGCTGATTGATGTCAACACTTCCGGCAACACGGCTGCCTCCGTGGTTTTACTTAACGTTAAAGCACTAAAATCTTATTGCGCCCTGAAGAAACTAGTTCTTTATAAAATGCATCGATATAAAAAACGGGCAGGATATTTTGCGACGAACTTTTTGCTGTAAGTTTAATGTAACTCGTTCTTTTTTATGAAGTTGAGATTGTGTAGTTCCCAGACGTCGGAGCGAGATGGGTTCACCTTATGGCCAACGAGGCACAAGGCTGGGGAAGGTTACAGAAAAAAAATTCTGTTGTTTTGAAGGTTCCAGTGAGCACAGTGACCTTCGTCCGTAAGTGGCAGAAGTTTGGAACCACCAGGACTCTTCCTAGAGCTGGCTGGCCTGCTATTTAAACTGAGGGATCGGGGGAGAAGGGCCTTAGTCAGGGAGGTGACCAATAACCTGATGGTCACTCTGTGAGAGCTCCAACGTTCCTCTATGGAGAGAGGAGAACCTTGCAAAAGGACAACCATCTCTGCAGCAATCCACCAATCAGGCCTGTATGGGAGAGTGGCCAGACGGAAGCCACTCCTTAGTCAAAGGCACATGGCAGCTCGCCTGGAGTTTGCCAAAAGGCACGTGGACTCTCAGACCATCAGAAACAAAATTCTCTGGTCTGATGGGACAAAAATTTAACTCTTTGGAGTGAATGCCAGGCATTACATTTGGAGAAAACCAGGCACCGCTCATCACCAGGACAATACCAACCCTACTATGAAGCATGGTAGTGGCAGCATCATGCTGTGGGGATGTTTTTCAGCAACATGAACTGGAAGACTAGTCAGGATAGAGGGAAAGATGAATGCAGCAATGTACAGAGACATCCTGGATGAAAACCTGCTCTAGAGCGCTCTTGACCTCAGACTAGGGTGACGGTTCATCTTTCAGCAG